TAGCGTAATGTTTTACTAAATAAAAAAAGTATAATGAAGCTTTGAAAAGAATAAGGGCTAATTTCTTGTTAAATCAATCTTTCAAGGAATTGGCCAATACACCTTATTAAAAAAAAGTGTCTATCAAGATTTGAACCCAAAACTACTAAAAATTAAACTACTATTTACTTAAGTGTATAATTTCCAAACCATTAATATCATGTGCAAATATATAGCTGTATAAGAGAAATTTTCTTTCCCAAATAACCAAAATCAACCAAATGAACACAAACAATGTGTAATGTAATGTACTAATACTTTTTTTTATTTTTGAGGGAATATGTATTAATAATCTGTCAAACAAAAATATTTAATTTTAAGTCAAGTACACAATCTTAATCACATATTATTGCAACTCAGGACATTGTTACGGCTTATAAATATAATTAACAAGTAGGTGAATAGGGAATTATGGATAGAAATATCATTCTAGACCTAGTCTTTTAATAATAGGAGTGTAATTTGGGTAATCATCATTTCAAGGATGAAGAACAAGAAACCGAGACTAGACATGGTATGATTTTTCCATTCGAGAAATTTACAAGCCTAAAGAAAATTTGTCACAATGTTGATGATTTTCTCCTTATCATTTTCCATTAAGAAAAATTGATTAAAAAATACATAGATGTAGGTTTGAAAAATCACTTGACTGGGGATCTGTTATTTTTATCTAAATTACAGTTCAATTCAACTTTAATCAGTTCAGTTCTTAATTTCCTTCTCTCATAAATAATTCATTTCAGCTCAGCTCAATTCAACTAAGTTCAGTAAATCAGAACATGTCCTATATCCTTAGTTGGACTACATTTTCTCCTTAACAAGTTGGACTATAATCACTACATAACCAAAGAAGTTTCTTTCCAATTTCCACAATTCTAAATGAACTTGTAGAGGGGATTTTAAAGGGTCCACCAAGCTAACTTCTACTGTAATCAAGTTTCATGTTTAATTACACGAAGTATTCTTATCAACTTTATTTATTTTATGTTCTTAAGTGCAACCTTTTTTTTTAATATATAAATGAACGTTTTTAAAGTGCTACGACTTTATAAAAGAAATACTCTACACTTTTTTTTTTTAACATCTTTCAACACATATGATCCTCACTCCTACCCTGTTGTTATTTCCTTCCAATCCTCTCACATTACTTACTTTAAATATATTATTTTTTTCACTTTCTTTTATCAGTAATATATTTTTTTTGACAACAAATTCCACTAATTCATCAAAGCTAAAACGCCTAAAGTTTCTTGAAACTTATTGTACGTAAAAACAGTTGTAAGTAACAATGAGAGATTTTGACCCAATGATAATATTTGAGAGTTAGTGTACGATAATCACAGGTTCAAAATATAACCATCTTCTCTATTTATATTTTATAATACCCTTAGAACTCAAAAATAAATAAATAAAATTGCACCGGACCACATGCAATTTTTAGCGTGTCGTAAATGTGGTGGATTTAGGCTCAATTGCCTTGTAATGTGAGATGATTGTGTGTGGACTTGCAGGTATTGCATCTTTTTGTAATTTGTTATTGTACAAGATAGTTACATGTTAATAGTTACATGTTTTTGTAGCTTGCTATTGTACCAAATCAATAAGCATTCTATTCTACTTTGTAGTAGTGCGTTGTTGTATATGACGCAATACATACATTAGTATTGCATCATCCCAAATGTAAATAATGGCAAAGCATTAGAGACAAAAAAAAAAAGAAAGCTTTTTTAAAATAACATTTTCTTTTTTCAATTTGTATTATACGTAATGTATTATTTTACTACCTCCGTTTCTTTTTAGTTGCTGCAAAGAAATATTTTATGCTTCACAAATAACACTCCTTTGTTGCTACTAAAAAGTAATAGAGTTAGTACACAATTTTTCTTAATCCGAGACTAGAATCATTTTGTTGGAGAACTTTATCTTATAATCCCTGGGTTCGTATTTTTTCTCATTAATTGCTAATATGTGGGTCAAACTTCTAAACTTTGACCATATATCCCGTTAATCTATAAGAAATAACATAGTTATGTGGGATTCGTCTCATTGCATATTTTGTTAATAATTTTTAACTTGTATTGAAGATCGTGAAAACTCGAATTGGGTAAAAAAAAAATGGATAAAGATATATCGAAGACTAGTAGCCTGATAGTTGAGAGAACACGATACTTCCTTTAGATACACGTATCTTACTCATAGGCGTTACTTTATTAAATTTGTTTGAAACGCCTACATAAAACCTCAAATTAAATTCACAGGGAAGTTCCAAAAAGAAAATACCCTTTTAGATACGAAAACTTCTAATTGAAGAGAAACAAAGATTTGCCTTTGATAAGCCATAAAAAGAAAAGGTGGTCCAAAAAAAATATTTTTTAATAAAGGAATTCAAAGGTTTACTCTTTCATTATTAAAGTTTATACAATCTTTAGTAACATCACAATGATGCCTTAGAAGCTTTAAATCTTGTAAACCCTAGTAATAATTTTTTTTAAAATAAATTAAATTAAAAATAGGAATTGAATTGACTTTGATTTGGGGGCACTCAAGGGCTATATAAGAGGTACCTATCCTTATTCTTTATTAACGAATTTGGTAAAGATATGTCGTCTTTTTATGTCTAGCAATGCATCAATTTGAAAGGATGGAACCTTTGATTGATTATAGAGATATGAAAAAACATAAAGTATACATGAGTTAGCCAAAGAGAATATACTAGTCAATAATATGATTGCTTTTCAACTGTTAAAGAACTACTTTTATTCATGTCATTTTAGTTGTTTTCTTCTAAATCAAGCCTTCTTTAATTAGTAATATAATGTTTATTACTTTGTTTGCCAAATTACTCATTGAAATTGTTCATTAACTAGCTGAGAGGAAAGTGGCTTTAATTGCATGCACATAATTAAGGAAAAAAGCAACAAAAGCAATGTTGTGTACCATTGCAAATTAATTAAATTATATTATTGTCCTCCCATTGGAGTGTTTAACTCATCCGCACCCTTCAATGTCATCACTTGATGGCGAGATGACCTAAGGGGTCTTGTGCTTAAGCACATCTTGAACACACCTTAAAAAAAATTATAAAAATAAATAAATAAATAAATAAAAAGAGTTTAAAAACGATACTTCGTAATAATTATGTGCCTATGACAAATAAGGTTTTTTTTTTTAATCTCTTTGAAATTATCTTGCCTAGACTAATAAAGGCACTTAATCGGTTAACCCTTATCGCATGATACTTTAAAATTAAATCTAATTAAGTGTGTGTGTGTTTTTTTTTTTGTTTTTTTTTTTTTTTTTATACACTAAGCTAATTAATGTGATATCTCTGGGCTTTAAACTGTAACGTTTGAATTATACATATTATTTAATACATGAGCTTATTGTTTCTCATGTGTTTAAGCAAAAAGTAACATGTTACAAGTTAATATATGGTACGTTGCCATATCTTGCAATGATCCAATCAATGTTCGTTCTATAATGATTCTGTTTAATTAAAGTAATAACACCAGAATAATTTGTGTGATTAAATATAGCATGAAGTGTCCCGCTAAATACCCTTTTCTAAACAGATTATTTATTTAATTTAAGGGAACAAAGCTAGTAATAAGAAGTGTATTACTTCAATCCATGCCTTGTTACTACATGACAAATTAAAAGCTTTTTGTTGGGTTGTTATGTGGTTCAAGATGATGCTAATTATTAAATGGTTACCATTAATATTTTTTGTGATGATAAGTCTTGAGTAATTATTTTCATGCTTAATTTTATAGGTGGAGCATGCATGTTTAGATATATATGAAGAACAAGTGGTTTAAGATAGATATTATCTAGCCAAGTTTTAACGAAGCCTAATTGGAGTAGCTCGCAAATAGGGTAGGCTTATTATCGTTCCTAAACACAACTACTACTAATAAATTTAAAGCATTCATGCATATTATATATTTAGTAAAATCGTATCGATCTTATTCATTTATTCTATATTAAATGTGAGTTATCTAATTTTTGACCGGAGGAAGTATACAAAGTAAATATATAATAACAAATCAAAGAATGGTAATTTACATGTAATTATGGGCCTGTTCACATTTATTGAACTGAGCTGAACTGAACTGAACTGAACTGATTGGAGCTGAACTGAACTGATTGGAGCTGAACTGAACTGAACTAAGCTGAAATAAATATTTTATGAGAGAGGAAAATTAAGAGCTGAACTGAATTGAACTGAACTGAACTGATTGGAGCTGAACTGAACTAAACTGATTGGAGCTGAACTGAACTGAATTAAACTGAAATTAAGTAAATGTGAACAGGCCCTATGTAAGACTATTTCTTAGTAATCAAGCATGCATTATTTTATTTGAGTATAGTTGTTGACACTTGTAATTCTAAGTAGTACTAATTTAAAATTAACTCGATCTTAGTAGCTTATCTCATTTTATCAATAAAAATTCCCTAATATCAGTAAAGAGAACATGGAATCCATATAAGTATGACTTCACCATAACATTCTAAATTTAACAAATATGCATAAAATTGAATCCAATGAATTTTAATTTAGGATCATTTATATAAGTGAATATATTTCACAAGTTTGTTATAGCAGATGTTTTGTATATGAATAGATTAATCTCTTGTATGGATGTACTTAAAGATTATCATTTTTTTTACAATGGCATATTAAACAAACGCGCTAGGCTAGCTATTAATTAATTAGTTGTCTTTTTGGAATGATAGTCAAGTTGATATTGTATGTGTAAACTGATCTGGTTATATGACAACTAAATTGATAATTTATGCGAGAATCTAGTTGTGGAAGTGTCGAAGTGATCGATCCAACAAACAATCATTAAACATTAACTAGTTTTACAAAACAATCCAAACAAAATAACTTTTTTTTTCCCTTCCCAATTTGCAATAAAAAAAAAATAGGGGTTTGGGGTTGCAGTGGTTGATACAAGTACTGAAAAATATTCCTTTTACATACATGAATATAGCAAGAAGCAGGAACATATTATGCTAAATTTAGCCTAATCTCTAATTAACAATAACGTACAATAATCTTTTCACCCTAAAAACTCTAATTAATCTGAAAAAGTTCCAGCTAAATTTAGCACTTGTTCCTGCTCCTAACCCTTCTATTATTACAACAAATACTTAATTAATCAACGTTAAAAATAAAAAAAAATAATAAAGATGAAAAACCACAATTGTCCCTAACTATTTTGTTGTGCCCTACTACATCATTATTCCTGTAAATCTGTAATAGTGGACCAAACATTTGTCTGTCATATCTTTTGAAAGGGTCCCTTCCTTTTTTCTTTTCCCCCCTCTTTTTATCTTTTTTTCCCCCCTTTTTTCCTCCACTTTACCACATACTTTGATCCAAGAATTGTTCAACCTAAAGCAATATGTGGCAACTGCCATACCATACCATAAAAATATATGATGGTCCTTTTTTTATTTTTTTAGATCGAGTATGGGTTTATATTTTACTCTCTCCGTCTAAAATTGATTGTAACGCTGTTAGTATGATTTAAACAATTTATGTAACAACTGATTCTAGACGAAGGTAGTAAAATAGGATATCTCGATATTGTAAATAATATTTGGCTTTGGAAAATTGTGGTTGAAAAGGGTATCGAGTTCATCATCACCTATGTACCATAAGCTACATGAATGTCGTTGTTCCTCCGAATGTAGGTGTCCAAAAATCGACTGGGGTCTCTTGGGCAACTGGGTAGGTGCTTGAAATAGGTACAAGACATAAGCCTCTACTTCTTAAATCTTGATTTGAATCTTCATTATCCTTCGATTTGTCACCCTCCTGCAAGATTAACAGAACAATCAATTCATAATTCAAATGAACAACTATTTGATTCTTCATACAAAATCATGATATAATGTAACGAAAAGTTAATTAATATTGGTCCAAGGTTTGGATTTCAAGTCACTATAATTAACATTCTTCAACTTTATTTATGAGTGAAGTTTCATGGGTCCAATTTGATGATAATTTGTACCCTTTATTCACTTCAAGTTTACCTTACAAATAAAAAAAGAAAAAGAAAAAAGGGGTACAATTTTCTCATGTTATCAATTAGAATTTGAAAAGTTTTGCTAGTATTTTGAAATAAATTAAAGTAGAAAATTTACTCATTTTATCTTTCAACGGCCAACACAAGCGAACAAGTTATGCACACAAATTAACTAAGTTTAGTTTTTGCATTGGCTTGTTTTAATGATTAATACCTTGAATTTTACTTTTCAATAGATAAGTAATGGTATAGTATGTTGATACATTAAGTGACTGTCGATATGAATTAAGAAAATTAGTGGGGTGAATAGATGACATGATTTGGATTTTAGACCTTAACATCTTATTCTCAATTCAAATTTTAACCTTCATGATAACTTTAAAAACATGATCATTAGTTTACATAATAGAGCCTTATTGACTAATCAAAACTAAAGCTTTTTTTTTTTTTTTTTTTAATCTTAATGCATGAACAATCTCTTCTTCTTTTTTTTCCCTCTTTTGAGGCTATGATGAAGATTTACAAAAGTGCAGTAGATAATTAATTAAGTGGATATCAAAACCAATCTTAATTATTATTAATTTAAGGGAACAATATTATTATTTTCAGGATCATGCCATGCTAAAAGACATATGATAAATACATAATACTCCGTATATTTGCAACCTTGAGTACATAATTTTCAACTAAACTAGTTGAACCCTACTTTGATCTATTCTAATTGGATTATATATAATTAGTCTATAACTATGACAATACCATATTTAATGATGAACAATTTATTAGGTTAAATTAATTTATAATCTATATTACTAACCTATAAATATAATAATACCATATTTAATAATGAACAATACCATATTTTTTTGCTTAAACATCTATATACCGCCCTCCTACTCTATCTTGATCTAGACTTTTTTCTTCTATAATCAATTTATAATCTATATATACTTGTAGATCTTTATGTAATTAACTTAAAATATTATTACGTTAAATTAAACACAAAAAAACAACTAGGTTTTGTTTGTTACCTTTTGTTGCATTGCAGTTCCATTTTTCAAATATGGAGTGCTTAAAACCTGAAAATCATAGAAAAATCACACATTAATCACTACATCAATAAACTACATATATTATATACATAATTAGTCCATTTATTAAGAAATTAATACATAAAAACTTACGTTAACTTGATCATGGAGAAACTTGATGTATTCGATTGCTTCGTGTAGAACCGATGCAGTATCAGTCTACAAAACAAGGATCATAATTTCATATAATTAGAATTAATGACACTTTTTTAAAAAATAACTTATTGTTGAATATAATCATACATAAAAATTAAGAATAAAGAATTTTTTTTTTTTTGTACCAAAAAAAAAAATGATAATAATGTTATAAAGCTAGTATACCTTCCCAAAAGGCGAAACTAGTTGTTGGAGAGCAGTTATACGATCCCCTAGCTTCTCCTTACGAACCTGCCGATCAAACAATAACAAATTAAGTACCTTAAACTGATAAATATTATATTTAGGATAATATTTGTCGCAGATTAGGAAAAATCGAAAAATAAACAAGCAATTCAATGGAAAATTGTATTAATTAATATACGAAGTACATGTATGTACCTTAAATGTTGGCAAGGGAGATGGAGTCTCAATTCGCGGCCTCTTAGCTTGTGGTTGATCATTGTTACTAGTATTGTTCTTAGACTCACGACGATGTTCCTCACTATTACCCTAAACAAATTTATACCAAAATAAATGTTTAGCTCAAGAACATACATGTATAAACCCTAGTATCACATATATAGCACAATAACACATACACAACAAAATATTATTATTACTTTTTTCTATTTTTTGAAAGATGTAAAGGGACGCCTTCTCTCAAGACTGTATAGTAAATATGTATGTGTATGTAAGTGTGTGTATCAACTATAATAGACGTGTAAATTACCTTGGTATTAGACGAGTGTGATTTGTATTTGAAAGAAGAAGGGCCTCGAGCTCGTGATTGTAAGGAGTTCAACAAGCTAGCTCGAATGCTACTAAGAGTTGTAGGAGAGTATTGACCACTAAACACTTGTCCTTGATCATTGATCAACGACGCGTTCATCCCTCCATCGATCTTGTTACTTTGTAGTAAAGGTATTTGAGGAGAAGGAAGAGTAGAAGTAGTGTTATTAGGACTAGTTTTAACCCAAGAATTAGATGACATAATTTCATTACTTGAATCCAAAGAAGCATAATTATTATTTGATGAGTTGATAAATTGATGATGAGGCATGGATTGTGGTTGAGGTACTTGATGAGATTCATCAGAATCATCAAACAAAGATTGGATCAAGTAAGAAGCTGAAGAGTTCATCGGAAAGCTCGTAGCGAGGCTGCCGTCGCAGGTGATTGTACTCGAGTCGCCGGAGTTATTGCTAGAGGCTGTCAAAGTAAAGGGTGGTGATGCATCTTGGGTGTTGTTACAAAAGTTGGTTGTATTCATAATATTTGGTGAATTTACTCCCATTTCATAGGAATTACATAAACTTGTACTATTCATATTATCTTGTAACATTGAATCAAAGTTTGCCTCGTTGCTTCCATTATTGTTACAACTGCATAACAAATTAACAAATAATACTTGTTAGCAAATTTAATTATATCGCGATTTTTTCCCAAAAAAATAAAATAAAATAAAATTATATCGCGATTTTTTGTACATTAAATAATTCATGTACAAAAATACTTACAGCAAGTTTTGATGATTATTCCAGTCAGTAGTTGAAGAAGTGGGTGAGAGGCCAAAGCCTAAAATATCAAGGGAAGAATCAAGTTGATCAGAAAATATTAAGTTGTCAAAAACTGAATTATTATTGTTACTAGACTTGTTATTATTGCTGCCCTTTACAACTAATTCATTTGGCCAACCAAAGCTGCCCACGTCAAAGCCGGCGCCACCAAGCTGAGCAACTGAGCACGGTGATGATAATCCACTAGAGAATAAATTATGTGGTGGATTCCACCACGTGCCGCCACAAACACCGCCTTGGAACTCTTCTCCCATGTTGCACAACTTCTAGTCTTTTGATTAATATTTCACTTTGGTTTGATGTACAAGTTTTTTCAATGTGAGTTTTTAGACACTTAAAAATAGAGAAGTGTAGAAAATATTGGACCATTTTGGTACACTAGGGAATATGGTACTTATATACCGGAATATGGTTGACATTTGGGAAAGGGGTGATTAGACAAAGCAAAGGGAATTTCATCTAATACAAAAATGATCTAATCTAATCTATCTTTACTTTTTGAGTGGAAATTAATTTTTTAATTTTGGTTCTTTAATTATTTAATATTATCTCATTCATGGGTACCTTGTATTCAAAGGGAGGGGGCATATTATAATGTGATATGATTCACTATCATTATAATAATACCCTTCAAAAAATTATTCCTGAATATTGTTTGATGTGTTGTATAAATTGCCACCTCACTATTCTGACTTATATTGACCACAACTTTTCTCCTTATATCATAATCTTATTACTTTTTTATATACATATTTCGCCTACATATATTTTAGAAGGTGTTACACCATCAGTTAGGCTTAGAATTTAAAAGTGTCCTATCAGATTGAAATCTTATATATAGTGTCAAATTAATATGCATTAGCATATATTAGTGAGCAAGACCTCTTAGCTTAAATGTCGGGTAATTAATTTAAAAGATTAACCATACACCACACAAATGTCATGTATTAAAAGTCACTTCCTAATCTATTATAGTCATTGTTGTTTCATGGTGTTTATCCACATTATTTTTATAATCGCATATACATAATGTAATGTTGTTTAATGTATTATGTTTTGATGATTAGGATCAGATAAACCTGCTTTTCAGGGGTTTAATGCAAAGAATTAAGGTTAGGTTTACCATCAGGGGCCTGAACATACAGCTAGCTTGGATTATCGAGACACTTTAATTTGATCTTTAAACATAAAGGCAATTTGGGCTGGCTTAACCTCCAAAATTAGGTGAGATGGGACCTTTTATTTCCCCGTTTTAGGAGTATAGTTTTATACTAGTTACTCCTTTTGACATTTTTCAAAAATTATAAATAAAATAAATTTTTAAAAAAAAAATTCATTTTAGGGAGGCAAAGGGAAACGATAGGTTCATTATAAGAATCTAGCTGCATCACCCTGTTCACCTTACATGTCACCCTAATTATATACTCCGTAAGTGTAACTCTCTACAAATTATCGTGTTATGTCGTGTTGTACGTGTTAGTATGTTTTATCGTGTTGTGCCTTAATGTTCTTTATTTAATATGTGACGTCATGCCTAACTTGTGCATAAGATTTGGGTATGGGATTCTACATAGGCTTAATTTATATATGAATTATATATTAACATATGTTTTATGTCATGACACATATTTTCTTGGTCTATTTTGACACAGCTCGCTTGAGCACGACTCACACTTGCACAAATACATGGGTGTCCATGGCCAGTCCCATGCCCCCATTTGTGTTGTGCTTCTTTCGTGCCCAATTGTGCGGTCTTGGCCCAATACCACCATCTTTAATTCTTTATGTCCAAGCTGAAATCTAAATTAATTAAGTGTTTAGATCAATTAGGTGTTTGGAATTATGGTGCTAAGAAAAACTCACATGTAGATTAGAACTATTTGTCAAATGTAGACTAAATATCAATACTATCATATTAAACTCTACTAGAGCCAACCTCGTTGACAACTCTGTTAGGGTAGGGTGATAATGAGCCGAGTCGAGTCTTGTACATGAGCTAGGGTGAATCAAGACACCCTAACAAAATCGTTTGTGTGATATTGAGAATGGAAAAGTCATATGACCAACAACTTGCAAATATTCCACCCAATTGCAGTTAATTATATATTACTGTTTGTTAACTAACTAATTAAGTCCATTTGGTAGTATATAAGTCTAAGTAGATTATGATATTCCGGGACAAAAATTAGGCCAAGACACGGGCTATTGTAGCCAATAAAAGACAACATTTCAATTTTACAACCCAATTTTCTATGGAGTTCATCTTTTTAATTAGCCTAAACTTTGGATTATAAACAGTACTTACTATCACTAATCCTTTAGAAATGGTGCAGTTGACCATATAATTAATATATTTCATTAAATCCAATATTCATCAGAAAATGACCAAATTAGTCAATCTAAACGGCGTCATCATAATCGTCAACTTGTCTTTGTATTATTTTGTTAGATTTTGAAAATTTAGACATTTTTTTTTTATTTTTTTGGGTCCACAAAGCCATTTACAAATGCAATGATTAATTTAGGACTATGTAACAATTTTTTTTTATTTTTTTTTTTTTGGCAATGCATGTATGATGATTAATAGTTGAAATATAATAATGTATTCTATTTGATATAAGCTTCATGTGATTTATCTTAAGAATATGTAGTTTTGATGCTAAATTAAAGATATACTAGTATTATTTATTGATTGACTTTTGGGACATTGAATAAAATCCAATAATATTCGAAAACAATATAGAGTTAGGCTCTTCCCATAATTTGATCCTCCCTCTCAGAATTTTGACAAAATGATAGTGTGTAATAGTCTTACGCGTTAAATTTAGGCTAGTTAGTATGGTTAGTCACTGTGTTATTATACGTAGCATAATCAACTTTTTTTACAAATAATTGTATTACATACATCTTCAAAAGAAATATAAATTTAACAAATATATGACAATTCGAATTAACAGTCTGTTCACTTCAACTTAATTTCAGTTCAGTTTAGTTCAACTCCTAATTTTCTTCTCTTATAAAATATTCATTTCAATTCGATCAGTTCAGTTCAGTTCAGTTCAGTTCAGCTCCAATCAGTTCATTCAGCTTAGTTCAGTTCAGCTCATTAGTTCAGTAAATGTGAACAGACCCTAAATAATTACTCAAAAGGAGTTGTATATTTATTAGATACTCCCTCTATCTTAAATTAGTTTGAGCAATTTTTATTTGTTTGTCATAGATTATTAATCCCTAAGAATTTATTGTTGAACTTTAGATTAGTAATATATGTGCAATTTGATGATCTAAGATTAGTGATGAGCCCCATCTTAAAAAAGTGATTTGAGGGTGTTGATATGTATAAACAAATCGTTTTATTTTTGAGAAATAGGAAGTCATAGACTTTAATAATTAGGTTTTGAGAGAAGTCAACATCTAAAGTCCAAAACCAACTCCAATAATCATACTTTACGTTGACCAAATTAGAGGAGTTGGTTTTTAGTTAAATTTATGTTTTAGTTCGCTATCAAAAGTTCGGAATTCGCTAAGCTAAGCGACCAAAGCTAATTTTGCATACTTCCTAAAAAAAAATTAAAAATTTTGAAATGTAAAGAAGCTAATTTGTATATTGAATTATGGATTTATGGATGTGTATTGTATTTTGTATATAAGTTTATATAAAATATTACTTTGCATCAATAACTACATTCACTCATTTGGTACATAATTTATGTTGTCATTTTTCAAATCAATGCAAACATACTATCATTAATGATCATGCCTTTAACAATTGGTTGTTGGTGTAGTGGTGATTGGGACTACACTTGGTAGGGAGGACCCGTATTCGATCCCCCGCAACAACAATCGGGAGGGGACTGGAACTTAACCACCCAAAACTGATCCCCGAATCCGGATTAGCCCAAAGGGTGAACCGGATGGAACACAAAAAAAAAAAAAAAAATAAATAAATAATAATAATAATCATGCCTTTTAAAATTTTATGTATGCATCACGTTCATATGAAATTGATGTGATTTATTTAGTCGTCTTTATGGAGTTTTGAAGAAAATTTAGTTGATACATGATTTGTATTGAGGAAATAAAGAAATGCAAAGATCAATCTTGATTTGTTTCTTCTTCTCATAAAAATAAATATTGACTCTTTCCCTTTCAATTGATTTTTTTCCAAGTCTAGAGATTGCAAATCTCAACCCATTATTGGGGTTGGAAAATTTATCAAGGCCCCTTTAATTAAGCAATCAATTATATAATTCGATATTAGAAATAATGAAATACTAGTCACATAAGATAGGCTGCAAAAACTTATACTCCGTATCAAAGAAGAGTTCCATCACATAAATAGTTAAGGTTACATCATAATATCAATTCACATTTAGATTTTCTTTCTTTATTTAGAATTAATTTTTCTGTCGGGTTTTTTTTTTTTTTTTTCTGAAACAAAATTTTCTCTCTAATTAGAATTAATAGCCTTTGTACGTGTTGACCTTATATTGTCAAAGTTAATGATTCTATAGTACATACAAGTATATAATAGTGAAAAAAAAAATTATATGTACAAAGAAATAAGAAAAGTAAGACAAATGCATGCAAATTACTCTTACATATCACCCCTGACGACATATACAAAATATACAACGCGCGTTTTCTATGTGACTGGCACACCATGTGGTCACTTGTAAAAAATAAAATAAAATATAGTAACGCCTATGACACCGACAAGTTAACCCTATCTTACTAACAAATAGAGTAGCCCCTTATTATACATATTGAGTAACTCTTAAATAATTAACAAATAAAGTAACCCCTCCAACACTCAGAGTAACCATTATAACACTTACTAATAAGTAAGCCCCATATTTTCCTCAAAAAAAGAAATGCTCTATATCACTAATTGAGTGACGCTTACTAATTGAGTAACTCTATAGTGGCTGCCCACATTGATGAATAACTAACACAATCAAACTTTGCATACATGTCGATGTAATAGTTTGACTTGGTTTTTTTGCATGTAATTAAACATCAATAAAAATTATAATCTTTTTAATCATAAAACCTTACATCAATATATATATTAACAACTTAAAATGATAAAATATGAATTTATTACATTTATAAAATAAAGTAAAATAAATAAATAAATAAATAAATTACAATCAATGTTAATATTATAGATAGTGGAAAAAAGTCTAATGTGCCAGTTTTAATAGGAAGAATGGAGTAAAAATCAATGTCGAACTCCGTATTTAATTTTAAAATGAGAATTTAGTTTACAGAGAATTATATATCAATCAACTTTTGTACATTTTGTATATTTGAGTGATACTCTACATTTAAAATATAATCAAATACGAAATATATCTTTTACTAATCCGTAATATAAACTTGACTTAAATATATTAGATATGGATGGAGAAGGCCAGGGTGAGGTCCATGAAGAAACTTGAAAAGGCCATATCCCATAAGTATAGTCTCAAGTTGAATTTTTTAGGATAAATAATTAGTTGATTTAGTTTGATAATATTAGTGACAA